GTACGAGGGGGACACGGAGCCGGACGACGTGAGCGGCGTCCAGCCGGACATGGCCAAGGCCAAGATGATCGACTTTGGGCGGGTCCGCCGGCAGGCCGGCGGGGATCCGGGCTACTCGAAGGGCGTGGCGACGCTCGTAAGCATCCTCGAGGAGATCCTGAGGGAGTCCTTCCTCGAGGAGTCGAGGTACATTTCCCCGAAACGGAACGGGCACGCCATGAACCGCTAGTGGCGTGTGGGTGCCATCCAACGACCGTTCCGCGGTTTCGCTGCCACTGCCACGATAGAAACCCTTTTTGGGGGCCGTGCCATTCGATGAAAGTGCAGCCCCGATCGATGCCTGCCTGCCTGCCTGCCTGCCGCTCTTTGGAATCCATCTGCATTGTGGCATTTGTCTATAATTCGCGCTTCGGTGTAATGCGCCACCCCTCGCGTACCAATCGGTCGAGGTATGGCCCCGATGCCCGCTGCCGTTTCATGAAATCCACCGGCGCGGTGCGATTGGTTTGCGATTGCGATTGCGATTACAATTACAGTAGTGACCAGAAAACAGTTGCACAATAGAACAATGTACAAACACCCGACATGACATAATTCGCCGCCCCTTTTGTGAGGGTTCTTGTTCGTACCAATCGGTCAATGCCCGCTGCCGTTTCATGGAATCAGTCGGCACGGTGCCATTTGTTTGCGATTGCAATTACGATTGCAATTACACTCGCACTAGTGACCCAACAATAGTTTCACAATGGAACAATGTACCTACCAACACGACGAGTGACGATCTAATGTTGACTTTGTTTTTTATTAGTTGTTTGCATTCATTTGCGCTGGTTCTAGTCCGCGGAGGGCTTTGTGTCGTCCTCTTTTGATTTTGGTTCTTCTTCTTTCGGCGCCACGGGGTCTTCGGGAGGCGTCCACTCAAAGGGCTCGGGGGGGGCACACTCCCCCTCCGGCTCGAGGGAGGGCGCCTTGACGGCCCCCAGGTCTTCCTCCTCCCCCGGGGTGCTGTCCGTGAGGATGACGACCCCAAAGGGCTTTTCCTCGACCCGGATCGGGCGGTATCGCTGGGAGAGATCAAAGGCGCAAAACTGGGACTGGGCTTTGGTCACCCTCGAGGGGTTCGTGACCCGAAAGGAGGTCGGCTCCGGTTCGCGCTTCTTCTTGCCCTTCTTTTCCGGTTCCTCTTTCTTCTCGACCTCCATGGCGTCGGAGTCTTCGGTTTCGGTCTTGTCCGGTGTCTTTTCTTCGGATTCGACGTCCATTGCGTCGCTCGAGTCGGCGGCCCCTTCTTCCTTGGCTCGTTTTCTGGCTTGCCTGGCTTTCTCCTTGGCGGTGGTAGACAGGGTGACCGTTTCTACCCGCTTCTTCTTTTCTTCCTTTTTCTCTTCGAGTTTCTTCGGGTAGGCAAACACGCTTGGTTTTGAGTTGCACACCACCTCGAACTTCTTGGGGAATTTAAAGTCCTTGTTCAGACCAATCGTATAGGTGGGTGTGAGTGCGAGGCTGAAGGTGTGGAGCATGGGGTACCAGTGCCAGTGTTGGAGCCATAGGACCAGCCCGACCGCACTCGTCATCTGCGTAAAGCCGTTTCTCGACCCGAGCGATATGGAGCAGTTTCGTCCCCCCGCATCGATGATGCCGATCGACAAGACGGCTCCCATCTTCGTGAGGGTGCTCTGGTGTTTTTCGCTGACGATCGAGGATAGTTTCTCCCGAAAGGCCTTGACCTTTCGGTTGTTGCTGGTGTCGCTCTGCTGCATGTAGATCATGGCGGTGCCCAGCAGCGCTCCCTGCCTCACGTAGTCCGTCATGTCGTCCAGCATCGGCTCGAGCATGGCGATGCTTTCCGGGTCCCCGGTTCCCGCCATGGCGATTCCGACCGCCATGCAGCTGGCGTAGCGCACGTGCGGGTTGAAACTCTCCATGAGCAGCTTGACGAGCTGGGGAACCCGCTCGGGAGTCTTGAAAAGCACAAAGGCCAGACCGATGACGGCGGCCATGCGCACGTCGTCGCTCACGTCGCTGACCGCGGTGTGGAGGAGGATGCGGATCGCCTTGTTCGATCCGGTGCCACAATAGGCGAGGGCAAGGGCGTACATGGCTCCGTAGCGCAGTACGGGATCGCGGTCCGTTCTCATGTCCTCGATGAGGGCGTCGGCGTTCTCTTCCTGCTGGTACTGGGTCAGGGCGAGACCGATCGAAATCCCCCGAATGATCTTTTCGTGCTGGGTTTCCCGGGCGTAGTTCTTGAGTTCCGACACGATTTCCGTGATTTCTTCTTTGCCCTCGGMRGGGAGGGAGTTGTGAASGTTTCCGGCTCCGGTCCCCACGAGGACCATGCCGATTGCCATTCCGGCGGCTTCTCCCGCGACGGCGGAATCGGTGTCGAGCAGCTCCTTCAACTCGTTGACGACGAGGAAATCCGCAGAGCCCATGSAGGTCAACCCCACTCCGAGGGCGGCTCCGTGGCTGATGACYTCGTTGGCGTGCGAAGCGCGGAGATGGGTCCGGATGAARTCCGAGGTTTCCTTGCGTTTTTYCGCCGAGGATCCCGAGTGGGATCCGTGGATCAGACCCAGGGCATAGAGCGATCCCCCCTCGGCGTATCCCCCTTCTGCCGATACGGCGCTGCCCCCGGTGCCGTCTTCGCCCACCGACGGATTGGAAGGCAGGTACGGCTGAAGCAGATGCATGGCCTCCGTGACGTGCCCGGCGTGGATGACTCCCAGCGAGGCCGTCGCCGAGAACTTGGCCCTGCGCAGTTCGAGGGTGAGAAAACACAACACAACACAACACAAAACCAACAGCGGCAAGGAAAAGTGGTGAGAAACCGGACATGGATTGGCGGCTGCGGTTGTTCCACCGGCGCTTCCGTTGCCCCTGCGGGCGTAACGCAACGCAACGTATCGTAACGCAACGCAACGCAACGTACCAGTTGGAAGCCTTCTTCATCCAGTCCAAATAGTCCCGTAGGAAGCTGTCGTTGGTGGTCCCCGCGTAGAGATAGGCGTGCGTCATGACCGCGGCGTTGTGCAGCAGGGACGAGCGGCCCCCGCTGCCGCGCTCCTCCAGGGACTTCTTGAGGTTTTCCATGACGAGTCGGTCGGCCTGGGACTGTTTGTGCAGAAAGGAGAGGGCGAGTTCCGAGGAGAAGCCCCCAGTGAGGACCCTCGAGACCGAGGCCCACCGGTCCTTGTGTTCCTCTCCCAGCAGGGGCTCTAGCTCGCTCGCAACGCTGGCGACAAAGGCCTGGTCCCCCGTGTCGACGAGATCGAAACAGAGCTGGTAGCAGAGAAGGGCGTCCTCCTCGCTGGACTGCTTCAGCGACTGCTTCAGCAGATCGGCCAGGACCCCTGCCACCGCGTCCGGCTTGCCCAGCAGCTGGTAGACCCGGATCAGCGTGTCGACCGAGGCGCGCTTGCGCTCGGGCGTCTCTAGCTGGCAGAGGCAGTCGGCGATCACCGCCAGGGCCTCCTGGCGGAAGGACTTGCTGGCCACGACGCGGATCGAGGCGTCCAGGGCGTATTTCAGGAGGCCCTCGTCGGGCCCCGAGGCCTGCAGGATCTCCCTGAGCTTTTCGCTTTCCTGTGCCTCAAAGGCAATGCCCAGGGCGTGGTCGCAGCGGCCCTCCTGGCAGCAGGCGTCGAGCAGCCGGTAGACCATGCCCCGGAGCTGTTCTATGGAGATGCCCGTGTCGTCGGCGGAGGCTTCGGCATYTGCATTTGTGGAYGTGGAYGTGGCGTCCGAGGCTTCCTCCTGCTGGCGGATCAGCTTGCGGCGCTCGCGGATGTAGGCGTCCAGGGCGGCGGCGACGAGGGACTCGACGTAGGGCGTTCGGTGCTTGTTCCGCAGGTCGAAGTGGGTCTCCCCCGCCTCCAGGGCCAGCCGGAGGGCCTGCGAGGGCTCCTCCAGGTGGAAAAAGACCCGGGAGGCCACGGCGGCGGCGGTCCGCCGGGTTTCAAGGGGCAGGTCGAAGTCCTCCGAGAGGCTCTCCAGATCGGGGAGGGACTCGGCCACCTCGTGCCACAGGTGGTCGACGCAGTCCAGGAGTTTCTTCAGGGCGTGGGACTTCAGGGCCGGGTCTTCCTCCTGCAGGAGGGCGATGTATCCCGACGCCGTGGCCACCGCGTCGGGTGCTAGCGGCGTGCTTTGCGGTCGTGTCGCCATGCTAGTAGCCATGGTGCGGATCGAGGCCGGTACCGATGGAGTGGAATGGAATGGAATAGATTGGTAGTGTGTGATAGAGTACGGTATGGATAGCGGGGCGATTGCTGGTGATGGGGTGTGTACGGGTTACGGGCACGAGTACGAGGGCCCGACTACACCGACGGGCAACAAATGTTTTCGAAAACGTCCAAGAGCAGTCGTACGGTACTCGTACGGGCAAAAAGATCGGAAACGAAGTCGAACGAAGTCGGTCGTTGACCGAGAGACCAAAAATTCTTTGCAAGGTACTATTATATCATATGTAACATAGATACCATACCTTTCGTTCATTGCTTTCGATCGATCGAGTCGAATAAGTTGGGTCGAAGGGTTCGGCCCGAACAGAACGCAATCGACGGAATCGAACCGCTGAACGGATCACTCCTTCGCCCAACGGCAAAGCTCCGTTCGGTTCATTCGTTCACTCCGTCCCGTGTCCCGTCACCACCGCAACCGCCGCCTTCTCTCTTTTTTTTTCGTGGTGTTTGTGGCGGTTCCCAGATGCGAAGCGGAGAACCCGTGGAGGATCTTGCCGCGAAGCCAGCAAGGGTTTCCGTGATCTTCCGGCATTCCGTACCAAAGCCTACGTGCACTCCCGTACCATACAATACGGTCTCGTACGGTACGGTCCGTAGCCTTTCCTCGACCGCCATCGATGCGAATGCATGTGCGGGCTCTTTCCCCTTCACCAACATCACGAATCGAAACTAAATCGAAAGCAGCAGCACTGCAAAACATTCGCAACCAAACGAAACGAAACCAATCGCAGTCGCAACCACAGTCGCAATCGCAACCCAACCAAACCAGCGGTCTGAATTCTCTCTAAAGCATCGGCGCAAATAAGCACGTTCGTAGCAACCGACCCGGCACAAACGCGTCCCGAAACCAAACGCAAACCCAAAACCCAAACCCACCCACACAAACACTACAATCTACGACAAACCTACGACTCCTCCAAGATGTTCGCCACCAAGTCCGCTGTCCGATCGGTATTCTCGAGGACCCGACCGACCGCCCTCCGATCCTTCTCGAACACTTCCGCGACCCTGGCGGATCAATACGACGTCGTCGTTATAGGTACGCAACTGTCACGCAACGGTGAAGCGGGGCACGACGATTGTGTTGCCTTTTGCCGGGTGCGGTGGCAACTGCAACTGCTTTTGGTGCTGCCACCGCAGTTGGCCCGCGAGGCACTACCGGGTGGCTCGGAACGCGGGGTGCATCCACGCACCGTTGTCGGTATCTTGTTCGTTCTCTCAACACTCTCCCCGAACTTTTTTTTTGCTTACCGAACGAGTTGCTTTCTTGCTTGCCTGTTTGTTTGCTTGCTTGCTTGATTAATTGTTTGCCTATGTCTGTATCCACGCATCTGCCTGCCTGTCCGCCACGCTACGCTACGATATCTGCCAATCCACCCCAGGCGGAGGCCCCGGCGGATACGTCGCCGCCATCAAGTCGGCCCAGCTGGGACTAAAGACGGCCTGCGTCGAAATGAGGGGCCGCCTGGGAGGAACCTGCCTGAACGTGGGGTGCATCCCCTCCAAGGCCCTCCTCACCTCCACGCACCACTACCACGACGCCAAGCACCACTTTGCGGACCACGGGGTCGTCATCGACGGAAACATCAGCATGGACGTCGACAAGATGCAGGACACCAAGGCCAAGTCGGTCGAGGGACTGACGGGGGGCATCGAGTACCTCCTCAAGAAGTACGGCGTGGAATACCACAAGGGGAAGGGAAGGATCACCGGACCCAACGGCGTCGAGGTCGCCCTCAACGAGGGGGGCAGCGAGAGCCTCGACACCAAGAACATCCTCATCGCCACCGGATCCGAGGTCACGCCGCTGCCCCCGGTTCCCGTCGACAACGAGGGAGGAAAGATCGTCGACAGCACCGGGGCGCTCGAGATCCGCAAGATCCCCGAGAAGATGGCGGTCGTCGGCGGGGGGGTCATCGGACTGGAGATGGGATCGGTCTGGGCCCGCCTCGGAGCGGAGGTCACCGTCATTGAGTTCCTGGACCGGATCCTCCCCAGCAACGACCACGAGATCGGAAAGAAGTTCCAGACCACCCTCAAGAAGCAGGGATTCAAGTTCAACCTCAAGACCAAGGTCRTCAAGAGCGTCGTGGAGGACGACGGCGTCGTGCTGACCACCGAGCCGGCCAAGGGCGGGGACGCGAAGGAAGAAAAGTACGACGTCGTCCTGGTCTCCACCGGCCGCCGGCCCTACACGGAGGGCCTCGGCCTGGAGGACGTGGGCATCCAGACGGACCAGCTCGGACGCATCGAGGTCGACTCCCACTTCAAGACCGCCGTCCCGTCCATCTACGCGATTGGCGACTGCATCAGCGGCCCCATGCTCGCCCACAAGGCCGAGGAGGAGGGCATCGCCGCCGTCGAAACCATTGCCGGCTTTGCCGGCCACGTCTGCTACGACGCCATCCCGGGCGTCGTCTACACCTACCCCGAGGTCGCCAACGTCGGAAAGTCGGAGGAGGAGCTCAAGGAGGCGGGGATCGCCTACAACGTGGGCAACTTTCCCTTTTCCGCCAACTCGCGGGCCAGGGCCAACGGGAGCTCGGAGGGATTCGTCAAGGTCCTGGCGGACAAGGAGACGGACCAGATCCTCGGCGTCCACATCATCGGTCCCAATGCCGGCGAGATGATCGCCGAGGCCGTCATCGCCATCGAGTACGGCGCCAGCTCGGAGGACATGGCCCGGACCTGCCACGCCCACCCCACGCTGAGCGAGGCCTTCAAGGAGGCCTGCATGGACACCTACGACAAGCCCATTCATTTCTAGAGCAGGAAACAAACACAAGATGTGATRGCAACCGAAACACCAAACCACACAACAGGCGAACCAAACGGGAGGAGACGGGACGAGACGAGACGAGAGTCGGCAACGAAAGCGTGGCATTCCGTTCGTTCGCCACCATGTAGTATCCGTGCCGCATTGCATTGCATTGCAATGCACAGCATAATAGTATACAACTTCTACTAGACAGTGAGTTAAGTTCCAACACCCACGAGTACGCCACTGCTGCAAGTACGCAGTGTCACTAGAAAACCACAGTCTTTGTGTCGTCGGTTGCGCTCGGGCAATGGGTGCGTCCTCGCATCGTTCCGGTGGCTTGTGTYGGAAAGACTTGCACCCTGGATCCGAAAAGCTGCGGTTTTGGGAGTCCGGGATCCCGAAACCCCCAAAACGAGCATGTGCCTGGTTCGGTTCGAGTCGAGTCGAGTCAAATCGAGTTGAATCGAATCAGTCCATCATACCAGCACAACCGTCGTGTCGAATCCCGCCTCACTCGTGTATGTAACGGTCCTCAGCCGGCGCCGGCGCTCTCGCGTTTTCAAAATTCATTTGTTTTTTGAACGTCACCAAACGTTTCCCCAGTAAGTTCCACCTACGCTACCGTACGAGTTGCGTAAATATTGGTACTGTAGCGTAGTGCACCAACAATGACTTCATTCTTGCAACTCGTTTGTTTGGATTGTGCCGGGAACGGCACGATTATTTATGAGATGGATGCTGCTAGTACCGTACCGTACGGTACTCGTAGGTACGGAAAGGTAGGAGTGGCATCGATCCAGATTCATTCGACCAACAAACAACAAGCACCCCATAGGAAGTTGGTGCGATCCGATCTACAGTACCTACAGTTCGAGTTGCAACAGACGAACGCCGCTACCAAACAAGTCCCAGCCTTGCAGGACCCACCCCGTTCCCAAACTTTACAACCGAAATTGCATCCATCCATCCATCCATCCATCCACCATGGCACCGGGATCCAGCTCGAAACAAAGAGATTACGACTATCTCTTCAAGCTGGTGCTGATCGGCGACAGCGGTGTCGGGAAATCGTGCTTGCTTCTGCGATTTGCGGTGAGTGTTGTGTTGTGTTGCTTTGTGTTGTGCTTTGCTTTGCTCGCAAGCAAACAACCCGTGCTGAACTGGCCCTGTCTTCCTCCTCTCCTTGCCTCTCCTTCCCTTGCCTTGCCTTCCCTTTCCTTCCCTCCCCCTCGCATTTTTGCAGGACGACGCCTTTACCGAGTCCTACATCTCGACCATCGGCGTCGACTTTCGGTTCCGCACCGTGAAGATCGACAACAAAACCGTCAAGCTGCAGATCTGGGACACGGCGGGCCAGGAACGCTTCCGCACGATCACCTCCGCGTACTACCGGGGGGCCGACGGAATCATCATGGTCTTTGACGTRACGAGCACCGAGTCCTTCGACCACGTGAACGACTGGCTCAAGGAGGTCAACCGGTACGCCGCCGAGGGCACCGTCAAGCTCCTGGTCGGAAACAAGTCCGACCGGACGGCCGACAAGGTCGTCACCGAGGCACAGGCCAAGGAATTCGCGGACGAGCTCGGGATTCCCTTTATAGAGACCAGCGCCAAGTCCTCCAAGAACGTGGAGGAGGCCTTTCTGACCATGGCGGGAGAGCTCATTCGCCAGCGCGACGCCAGGGGCGGGAGCAGCGAAACCACCGGCATCGACCTGAACGGCGAGAAGAAGGCGGGGTCCAACTGCTGCTAGGAACAGCGAGAACAGAACTGAACAGAACAGAGCACAGCGSAAAAGAGAAGAGCGAGCACGGCAGGGTGCAAAGCACCGACACACAACACAACACAGCAAAACGCAAACAACACAACACAACACAGCACACGAACATTGTATTTTTTTCATGTAGGCCCAAACGTCGCACCACCGCATTCCATTGCCCTCGCTGCCAATGGAATGTCCCGTGCGTCGGAGAGATTCGAGTCCGTAGGTTCCTTTGCTGAACACCGATCGCCAATTCGGAAGGGTTGATCCCAAACCATCGGATTGGTTCTGCAGCATTTGCCTTGTTCCCTTGGAGCAACAAGGATGATCATTCGTTGCCACGACGATTGGATTGCTGTTTTTTGGTTTCGATCGGACGGAAGCAAGAGCAACTGACGCACGCACGGAGATAAAACTAGTGAATCGAATCTGCAATCGTCTGTTTTGTTTTGTTTCGTTTTGTGTTTGTGTTTGTGTTGTATTGCGTTATGTTACGTTACGTTGCATTGCCGCTTTGTGCAAAGAACGCTTCGGCAGCGAACCATCTAGTAAAAGTGTGTGATACTTGTCGTAGCACCTGTTGGCATCGTACGGCTCGGCCGGAAACCAGCACTCGTGTTGCGCATCCACATTTGTTTTGTCGCGTCAGCAAAGGCTCGGGGCGGCCCCTCCCGCAAACGGCCAGGAGATTCCGAAGAGCACCACAAAGGCGATTGCGTTCGTGATGGACCACCAGCACACGAGCCGCAAGAGGTAGGGAATCCTTTCCTCCCCGATGCGAAAGATATCCCACTGAACGTCCGCCCACTGGAGGAACGAGAGAAGAAAAAAAAGAAAGAAACAACGCACCAAACACACACACACAAGCGTGTGAGCCGGCCGATTGTTCCCAAAGATTCGCTCGTTGGTTCTGCCGCAGCGCCACGAGGTGCGAAACAAGCCGCGGCCAGCAAGACCACACCAAACCCGAGCCCACTCACCATCTCGTGCGACAGGTTGACGTTCAGGTAGATGTCCGGATCGCTGTCGCCGTGCGGAGCCCGTATCGCGACKGGCGTCAGGCAGAAGGAGACGAGGGCGCTCGTCCCGACGACGCAGAACGAGAGCGGCAGGGCGACCGGGTGAAGGGCCCCTCCGCTGACCCACAGCACCAGGGGGATCTGCCGGCGGCGATTTCGTTTCATTTCATTTCATTCGTGCGCCGGATGCCCAAAACGCCGAGACGGGGCGGGCGGGCGGTCCTTGGTGAGAAGAAGAAAACAGGAGGAGATAAAACAAGACAAGACGAGACAAAACACCCGAGATGCCGTACTCACCGTCCAGAGGTGGTGGGTCGATGTCATGCGATTGATCCAGTTGGTTCCGGGTGCAAAAAGATACTTGCAGACCCCGATCGGGAAGGTTCCTCTGCGCCATTTAAAAAAAAGTTGGGAACGTCGCAGCACGCCCCATCGCATCGCATCGCATCACACCGCAACACGCACGCGCAGGCCATGGACAGAACACAAGATACCGTAAGAACAAACAACCAATGTCTGACATACGTATAGCTGCCGCAACCTTGTTTCAACAAAGGTTGGTTCGAAAAASAATACTTGTGTTTCACTCACACTACCAAAAATCCTGCTATATCGACATACCTAACATCAGAAGGCAAGCACACGGAGCAAAGAATTCACGACAGCACGGGCAACCAATGGGTCGACACGACCAATCAAGAGGCAACGAGTCGACAACAAATGAGAATCATTTGGCAACGGGGACGCAAAAAGGAACCAACACGCCAGAACACCGACAGCAGACAAAGGAAACCAACAGAATCACCCGTGGCTGCGAAAGGAAACAACCGTCGCCGGAAGGAAACGCCGGAAAACAAACACCCAACCCGTGCCACACACTCACCACAAAAGCTGGTCGATCCCCGCTGCCAGACAAAAGGCCTGCGCGACCAGCGGCCGGTTGGTRTAAAACCCCAGGGCGGACATCGGGATCGTCACCGAGCACGTAAACGTGATCCCGTAGAATTCCGAGTAGAAACGATACGCCTTTTCCTTCCGCCGCAGGRCCAGGCGGACGCAAAAATACAGGGCAAAGTAGGCCGCCAGAACCATWGCCACGCGCTTCCGSMGTTCCTCTGTTTCCGGYGGCACCGTGCAGCGGAGACCTCCGGGGCCGTACACCGCACCGACCAGGGCGTCGTGGAGAAAGGGCACCGAGGTGCCCACAACGGCGTAGTGAAACAGAAAGGTAGCGACCGGGTGGACCCATGTTTTGTGCTTYGCAGCGTCTGGGCCTTCTTGAAAAAACCACATTGTCTACGCAAACGAAATTCTCGCCATAATCCGCACCGAAAGAATGTAGAATGGGTCCTTTGTGGTAGGAGTTGGATCTCCCGGGATGGAGAGAATGGATTGTTTGTGGTGTGTCTATTCTACTATTGCAGAATGGATTGTTCCTAGCTCGAGTGCTTCCGATGATTCCCACATTTCACATCCCTTGCTCCGCTCGTTTTGTTGATGTGACGTTCCGCGGTGGACGTAATAAAGCCCTTTGTAGGATGTGATCGCGAATGCGAGGCTTAATCACAAGGCCACTGGTGCTCCGCYCACTGGGTTAGTGACCTACCGTACGTTTTTTGTAAAGCACTTTACTACTGTAGATCCTACGGGATTAATTTATGTAAAGTACTAGATCCTACGGTACGGGATTTATTGTGTTCGGTACCTGCAGAGTTTTTCGTCTCATCCCGAGCAATCCCGTCAAATACCGCAACAGGCTCACAAGCAAACGYCTAAATTTCTTTGCTGTGCACTGTTAACGCATTGTGTCGCTTCCCCCAACCAAGTTGAGATGCGGTTTGTAGGAACAGAGTCGAAGCATGGCATTTCCGCTGTTCGCAAGCGGTATGGGTTGGAGTTTCTATCAATTGTCGTTTTCAGCCTTGCGCTGTTGCGGTTTGGCACCGAAACATCGCATATAGTCCTGAAAAACTATGGTGTTCTCGAATTCCGTCACCCTGCTGCTGAAAACAATTCAACTAACGGTTCGATCGAAGAATCGGCTTTCGAAGAGATGATTCCATTGGAACGCAATGCAACGATCTCCTCTGACATTGTCGGCATGACGCATATTCCAAAGGAGGCATCGATAGTTGTGCACTTGAAAAAAAACAGAACATGTGATCACCCTCAGTTAATTGGACGGCTTTCGGGTCCAGTGCTCACAACAATTGAATGGGATCAACATATTACCACAGCAGAAAATGGAAACGGGACGGACGGTAGCGACAACAAGTCMAATTCCTTCAATCATTCGACTGATGCGTTAAAGGGATATTATACGACCCCTATGCCAGGACAGTACTTTTTGGAAGTTATTGTCACCTTGTGCGTCAACCTGGAAATGGACACAAATTACAAACCGCTTTGCRTCCAGGATTCRTCGTTCAACCGCATCACAGGTTCAAATGCTAGCATYGGTGTGACTTCCGTTGATCCTTTTCTCGTGCGGTCCATGGAGCAGAACGGATCTTCAATAGAAATAATTTCACCGGAAGCAAAGGCGAGCARTACGAAGATCGGATTTTGGTACAATACGAATTCCTCGGAACCGCATGCTCCTGTTTTCACGAGGCACCAACCTGGCGCTCTGTGTCCCAAGGGTCCGGCACTAGGATTGCCTCAATGCACRGTTCCCGCGGACTTGTCTCGGTTTGATCCTTACAACAATGGGTTTCGATTTGCGAATCGTCATTCTAYTGATCTTGCTTCACTGCTTCGACGCCAACCMGAGACCACCAAAGTTTGTTTTGTCGGTGCAAGCCATGCAAGAGTTTTGASAGAAAAAACGYTGGCCATCGTGTCGGGCATAAAGAATGCAACAGTTGAAATAATATGGAAGGAGATAAGATTCGCGCAACAATTTGCAAAACACCAGATGAAAAGTCTTGTGGATGGCAAGTGTTCAAAAGTTGTAGCTGGYACGGGGCAATGGGATGCATCCAAGTTCAAACCGCCAACTATGTTTCATGATTTTCAAAATCATTTGGATGCTGCCATGGGGAATATGGCGGAAGCATTCGAAAATACTAGCATTGACTTTTACTTTCGCACCATGCACTATAATCCGCTCGGAAATCTTATTTCGTCTTGTCCACCAAGTGATTGGCGCAATCCACCCGTGGTGGACATGTACAATCGAATCATTCGGGAATCCACGGCGAAATACAATGTAACATTGATCGACACAACAGACATTACTGGAAGCATGTGGGATGCGGCTCCCGATTGGTGCCATCTCGACAACACAGTAGGGGAGACGGAAGCAGGATACATCCTYCATACAATCTTTCAGGACKTGTAAGGTCCCGATTGATTGTTTGAACACTCACACAAAATCCAAGGTGCCTCTTCGCTTTTCCAAATTAATTGACAACTGACAAATTAATACGAAGAACTGTGATACTACGAACTTGTAGCTTGTGTATCATTCATGCCTCGTTCTGTACGGCTGTTACYATTTTTTCTGATTGGAAWACTAAAAKCATCCTCCTCCCCCTACGCCAGCGGCACTTYGGCATGCGCAAAGTATGAAAACGAGAAAAAGGCTCGACAAGTTGGAGCAAGGAAAAMTTCCTTGTAACACGAATTCAATCATGACAATATGACTAATAATTRAAGGAGGATGAAATAAAGATCTACTAATAGCACTATTACGCAAGATACAAGTGCTAGCCTCTCGATCGATTCAAACGTRCATTTCCSTCGTACGCTATATTTGAAAAATACAAAAGGTTCAAGCACTATAATTTACTAGGTACCGTTGTCAGTGAAACTATTACTAAGAGCCTTGCCGGATCTGATCCCTTTTTTGCATCTCAGGAAGTGCAAGAGGAGTATTTTCATAAATGGATGAATTTGATAAGCTCCCTGCATCAGTATTTGTTGCCAATCCATTTCTTGTTCTGCTGCGCTGGTTGCATCCTCAGAGACGGTCGAAAAGAATATGGCTCTGTGTTTACAACTGCATCAAACTGTTCTTCAACAATTCCACCGCCATGGCGCCCCCGAAACCAGAACACAGATCTGCAAGACCCGAGGTGCTTGTGCCCGACGAATCSAGAGATTTTGCTCGCAGCGCGACGGATTTCATTCCTTCCAGAAGATCGACTTGCAAGGGATCGAGGCGCTTTTCGTTTCTTACAGTCAGCAAGCTGCAAACGCGTTTTACCGCGTAGGCAAGCATCGCCCGGCAATCGGCCAGGGCCGAGGCCTCGGCAGCGCTCCCGTCGACAACCATGCTTTCGTTGCTGTTCCCCCCAGTGGAGATTGCCGATGCCTGGAGGGCGTCCGAGGCAAAGTTCCACCACCTCGGAACGACCGCTGGAGTGCCCGTGGTCGAAGTGTCTCCCAGGTCGCCCAGAGCCCAGCGAGCGACCGCGGTGCTCCCGACGACCGACCGCCTMAGAAAACAAGCCACCAGTCCCCGGAGCACGGATGCGTTGAAGCACCCAACTATCTCTGCCTGTCGAAGCACCAGGGCGCCACCTTCCGTAACGTCCCCGTACGATTCGGCTTCGTTCGCTAAAAGCCCTTGGATGCACCTGCCGTATTTGTCGATGGCATCCTCCACCAGCATGTAGTAGTCCTTAGAGTCGTGTGTGTCTTCGACCATTTGATCCATCCCTTCCTCTTCCTTTTTCGAAGCAAGATCCTTGAGGTGGGTCCGGATGTTTTTGATGGGCGAAAGAAGCACCCGCACGAGCGCAACGGTCTTGGGCCAGCGCCCCTCCACCGGAGCCAGGGACGTTGTGACCCCCTCGCTGAGCAGATATTCCAGCAGAGCATCTGGATTTTCGTCTTGGTCCCACAACCGTTTCTCGATCTCTCTCTCGAATTGTCCCAGCGTGTCCTCCTCGGTGTATTCGACGAGSGTGGTGCTGGTGCGGGGGAATATTTCTTCCGCTAGCGACTTCGTACCGGAGAGACACTCCCTGACGACGACAGAGGGATCGGAGACGTTTTCGACCAGCGACTGTACGATGTGGCGGACGAACGAGCCGCGGCTGGTGGGCGCCTCCGACAGGGCGTGCGGTTCCCACAGCTGCCAGTACGCGGAGGGCCACTGGTACTCCGTGTTGGTCAGGTGAAAGGCGAACCACCGACCGATGTTGTCCCGGGCGGGGGGAACGAGCGCCGGCAGATAGTCGTCAAAGGCGCTGGTCATGGCCACCGCGAGCGCCGGAGACACGAGCGACGGCCGGAGCCTCGTGAGCTCGAGGAGGACGCGCGACACRAACACGTGCCGGAGGGCGCAGCCCTCCCGAGACTGGACGACGAGCCCGAAGAGGGTCTCCACGATGGCATAGGCCATTCCCCGGGAGGGGTTCTCTCCCGTAAACACGTGGCCGAGGCCCAGGAGTTCTTCGGCCGCGCTCTTCGGGCTGCCGAGCTGCAGCCCCGTGGGGTTCACCACGGTTTCGTGGCTGATCAGGCAGTCGCGGATGGCCTCGGCGACAAAACACCGATCGATGAGACCAAAGCCGTTTCGAAAGGCCTGTAGTTCTTCGTTCTTGGCGGCCCCGTCGTCCATGTCTTCTTCTTCGTCGTCGTCGTCTTCCGGATCCGGGGGAGATCCAAAAATCGGGAGGCGACCGAAGACGACCCCGTCCAGACCCGGCGGAAACACCTTGAATTCACCGACCCCGGCGAGGAGAAACCGCAGCGAGTTGCATTCCGTCACGGACAGGTAACATGCCTCCCCGGTGTACACGACTGGAACGGTCCTCGTTTCTGTTGGTGTTGTTGCTGCTTCTGCCGTGCTTTCTTCGGCCGGAACGGCTACGGTTCGGGTCAATCCCTTCCACGGGGCATCCTGCGGAAGAGCAAACCGAGATGGCTGGTCCCGGAGCGTTTTGCAAACCCTGAGCAGGTCCTGCAGACTGTCACAAACCTGGCCACTGCTGTCCTCATCGTCGTCCTCCTCSTCGTCGTCTTCGTCCTCGTCGCCCATGTCTTCCCCGTCGTCTTGCTCGCCCTCGAGGAGCATCGACGCGCACCCCTTCCCGGGGGAAAAGGCGGACCGGTAGGTTTTCAGCACCGCTTCCACGGGCCCGAGCACAAAGGCGTCGATGGCCTCCGCCGGAACGTATTCGACGACGTAGGGGAGCGTCGACAGGACCAGCGAGACCAGCAGGTRCGCCACGGAAGCRGGGAGACTCCGCTGATTCGACACCCCGGCGGCCTGAACCAGCATGGAGAGGAGCCCAAAGACGGTYAGCCTGCCGGAATCCACCCCCACCCCCGCTTCTTCTTCCTTTTCTTCGTAGCCCTTGACGATGCCCGTTTTCCCCAGCAGCGCCAGGTACCGGAGCAGGAGCTTCATGCGGCAGGAGGCCCGCGARACGTTCTTCCCGGTCCCGAGGACCGCATCGAGGTCCGCCGCGAAGCGATCGGCCGCGTACGCCGCGCACCGGGGAGCAAAGCCCGCCCACCGGTAGGGGTCGAGGGGCGGTTCGCCGGAGGGACCGGGGCCCATGCCCAGGGCGGCGACCTTCTCGCCCAGGGCGAGGGTGAGGCCGGCGTAGCAGGGGGTCTGGAGCGGGAGGGAGGCCGCGCAGCTGACCACCACGTGGGCGAGGGTTCCGATCCTCGCAAGGGGCGCCGGTGCCGAGGGCTGGCACCKTACGAGGGCGTCCACCTTGGAAGGGTCCGAGCACAGGACCTCCACCAGCTCGCGGATGTTCCCCGCCGTGGCGGCCTCGAGGGGCCTCTGGGCACCGGGAGCGGGAGGGGCCGCCTCGGGGATGTTCTTGAACTCCCCCACCCGGCTCACAAAGGAAAAGAGCTGGCGGAGCATCTCCGTCTCGGGATCGCGCTGGGCAAAGGAGCTGGCGCCGAACCGGTTTCCGGGCCTGCCCCTGCCCCCCCGGTGCCGGTGGTGGTTCCGGTGGTTGTTTCCCTGGTGGTAGGGGTGGTGCCGGTTCCCCCGTCCCCGGCCTCTTCCGCGCCCGCGGTGCCGGTGCCGGCCTCCCCGGTGGTACCCCCGTCCGCCTCCTCGGTCGTCCATGCTTGCTGTGCTGTGCTGTGCTGTGCTGTGCTGTAATGCAATACACTGCGTGCGCTGTGCTGTGTTTTGCTGTATTCTGTTGCGTATGCTGTGCTGTGATGCGCTGTGCTGTGCTGTGCTGCGTTCTATTGGTTGCCAGGTGAGACGAGGTCAACTGCGAACAAGCAGACGATCGAACTGGATCGGATCGGATCGGATCGGATCAAACCTGACTGAATCGAATCGAATCGAATCGAATCAAGTCAAATGCGAAGTTGGCCACTAGCTGTTTCAAACGAACAAGTTGCTCTGGTTTTGGCTCCTCCTAGAGCAACGGTTATGGAGACTCCTAACGAAGAGTGTTGGTTTCTCCGATCTGAGTACTCGTACCGGTATGTTGTTGTTGTTGTT